GGGGGGATGTGATCAACACCTATAAATACTTCAAGGGTGGGTGTCAGGAGGATGGGGTCAGTCTTTTTTCAGTGGTGCCCAGGGACAGGACAAGAGGAAACGGGCACAAACTTGAACATAAGAAGTTCCATCTAAACATGAGGAGGAACTTCTTTGCTGTGAGGGTGGCAGAGCCCTGGAAGAGGCTGCCCAGGGAGGTGGTGGAGTCTCCTTCTCTGGAGACATTCCAAACCCACCTGGACACGTTCCTGTGGGACCTGCTCTGGGTGGCCCTGCTCTGGCAGGGGGTTCGACTGGATGATGTCCAGAGGTCCCTTCCAACCCCATAGCATTCTGTGATTCTGAGGCGTGGGCACTGCCTGGTGCAGGTGGACAGGTTGCCACTGGGACTGAACAGAAGTAAAAACCACAGTAACTCAGTAATTCTGAGGCACGGGCACTGCCTGGTGCAGGTGGACAGGGGGCAAGTGGTTCTCCCGACGTGGCTAACGATGCTGTGCTGGATGTAGGAGGTGATGGGGAGATGGGGTTCTCTGCTGATTAATGATGCTGGGGCGCTGGTCCATGGTAATCTATTCCAAACCCACCTGGACACGTTCCTGTGGGACCTGCTCTGGGTGGCCCTGCTCTGGCAGGGGGTTGGACTGGATGATCTCCAGAGGTCCCTTCCAACCCCATAGCATTCTGTGATTCTGAGGCGTGGGCACTGCCTGGTGCAGGTGGACAGGTGGCAAGTGGTTCTCCCGACGTGGCTAACGATGCTGTGCTGGATGTAGGAGGTGATGGGGAGATGGGGTTCTCTGCTGATTAATGATGCTGGGGCGCTGGTCCATGGTAATCCCTTCGTTAGTGGGCAGAGCAAAGGGATTTTAATGCCTGTCCTTCCTTTACCTGTTCTCCAGGGGGGCATTCCCCATGTCCCCCCCCTCAAGCGGCAACCCATGGATGGAGATGTGAGCGCTGGGTGTCCCCCCTTTTCTCAGCAGGATCTTGGGGCAAGGGGTCCCGGAGTCTGGGACTTGCTGGAGGGGGGGTGCTGGGCAGAGCCTCAGCCCCCAGCTGCCTGGCCATAAGTGTCCCTGTGGGCTTTCCCCGCCGAGGTCACGGTGTCACACGTACGTCCCAGCAAATGAAGTCAAATCCAAGATTTCCTCCAAGAGGAAACAGGGGAGGTCAATGGGAAGTTGCTCAGCCGAGCCCTTCTGGTGCCAGGACCTCTGCAGTCACGGGGTTTGGGTGAGCTCAGCAGGAATTTGAGCTGATGGGAGGGGATTTAACTATTTAATTTTATTTTATTCAAAAAAAACCCAAACAAACCCAAAACCAAACCAAAACCTGTACTCGGCACTGATGAGGCCTCACCTTGAGTACTGTGTCCAGTTTTGGGCCCCCTACCATAAAAAAGACATAGAGGTGCTGGAGCGGGTCCAGAGAAGGGCAACAAAGCTGGTGAGGGGTCTGGAGAATAAGTCTTATGAGGAGAGGCTGAGGGAGCTGGGGTTATTCAGCCTGGAGAAGAGGAGGCTGAGGGGAGACCTTATTGCTCTCTCCAACTCCCTGAAAGGAGGGTGTAGAGAGATGGGGGTCGGTCTCTGCTCCCAAGTCACAGGCAATGGGACAAGAGGAAATGGCCCCAAGTTACGCCAGGGGAGGTTCAGGCTGGATATTAGGAACAATTTTTTTCACTGAAAGGGTCATCAGCCATTGGAATGGGCTGCCCAGGGAGGTGGTTGAGGCCCCATCCCTGGAGGTGTTCAAAAGACAGGTTGATGTAGTGCTGGGAGGTCTGGTTTAGTGATGATGCTCCTTGTTTGTTGTGTGGGTGTCTATTTTTGTCAGTCAGGTTGACGGTTGGACAAGATGATCTTTAAGGTCCCTTCCAACCTAGAAGATTCTGTGATTCTGTGAACAAACCAAACCAAACTATTTTGTGGAGTTATGGCTCTTCTCGTGTACGGCAGTGTCCTTGGGGCAGGAGATGGTCTGTAGAAGGTCAGGCTTTTAGCGGTGGCTCTCAGCCCCCTTCTCCCTTTGCTCTGGGATTCCTTTGGGAACATTTGGAGTCATTGAAGTGCAAGTTAAGCATCTGTAGTAGAAACTTTGCGAGCGCCACCTCCCTGGCCATGGGCCACCCAGTCCCCTCCTGACTCCAGGAAACCTCCAAAGTGAAAGCTTCTCTGCGGTTCTTCTCCATTTATTTGCTTATTTCTCTATTTAATGAGTTATTTGGAAGCCTCCTGCTCCGCTGCTGTGTGCCTTCCTGCTTTGTTTCCGAAGCGTGGAGCCCTTGGGGAGGAACAGGAGAGGAGGGAAGGGGGTGAGATTTCAGGAGGGGACCCCGAGGTGCCGGGAGAGATCCTGGTGGATGCCACCTTGGAGCGAGGGGTCAGTCCTTGTGTGCTGTACCTCATCATTGTCCCACTTGAAAAAAGCCACCCCAAGAAGGAAAATGCAAGTGGTGGAACGGGCAGGGAGACAAGGGGATGAAAATCCCTTGCCAGAAGGGTCTTTCCTCCTCACTGAGCGTGTCCTTATTTACTCTGCAGGGTGGGTTGACCTGGATCCGGGTCCCAGCCTGACCACGCTCCCCACGTCACCCTGGGCTCCCCTGCCTCAGTTTCCCCTGTGTGGGCACAAAAGGGGAGAAACGGCGAGTGTTTTAGGGGCTCTGGGAGCATCCCCACCCCACGTAGCCCCACCAGGAGGAGGGATGGGGAGATGTTTGGCTTCCACCTCCTCATCCGTTGATGCACAGGCACGTCCTCCTGCTTGTTTGAAGGGCCCGTAGCGAGGATTAATGACTGCTTAACGAGGCGCGGGGCTGTGGGCGAGGGAAGGAAAGCTCAGGGGGAGCAGAAACTCCCTGGGGGTCTGGAGAGGGAGCCCCCCAACCCTGCTGGGGGGGCTGGGAAGGAGATGCAGGTGGGATGTGTCGTTTTTAGGCTGGCTTCTGCCAAGAAGGAAGGGGCTGAAGATGCTGCGGTGGCACGAAGGCCATCACATTTTTGTATTCCCAGCAGGAACCAGGGGTGAAACATCTCCTTTCCGAGGGCAGGAACCCAAGAAGGAAGGGGCTGAAGATGCTGCGGTGCCACGAAATCCATCACATTTTCGTATTCCCTGCAGGAACCAGGGGTGAAACATCTCCTCTCTGAGGGCAGGAATGGGCTGAGCACCATGCCAAGACATGGGTGTGGGGGGGACTGAAGGCTTTGAAGCCCCCCATCAACAGCATCCCGGGAAACCTTAGGGATGCAGGAGCTTTGTGAGCTCCCCAAGCACCTTTTTCACCCCATCTCTGGAGGCTTCCCCCTGCCTCCGTGGCCTCGCTCACCTCTCCAGGAGCCAGGCTGGGATTTTGGGAGCGGGGAAGGTTTATCACTCCTGGCAGGGTGTGTGTGTGGGGGGGGAATTCCCAGTCACACTTCCCCAGCTTGCCATCCCGGAGCAGCCGGCGAAAGGAGGGGTGGGAAGATTAATTGGAGTTTTGCTTCCCACTTGCAATTGCGTGGAGAGATTAAAAGCAGCATTTCTGGGCCAAGCTTTATTTCCTGACTTTTATTTCTCTGGGTGCACCCCTTTTTCCTGGCGCTTCTGGGATGAGATTAAAAGCAGCATTTCTGGGCCAAGCTTTATTTCCTGACTTTTATTTCTCCGGGTGCACCCCTTTTTCCTGGTGCTGTCGGGAGTAAAAGCAGCATTTCTGGGCCAAGCTTTATTTCCTGACTTTTATTTCTCTGGGTGCACCCCTTTTTCCTGGCGCTTCTGGGATTTACCTGGGAGCATCCCGGGGGATGCTCAGCCCCGCCGGCGGCACATCTCCTCCTCCTCCCCGCTCCCCCCCATCCCGGGGGATGCTCAGCCCCGCCGGCGGCGCATCTCCTCCTTTCCCCCCTCCCCCAAGTTTGGTGGAGACCCAGGAATCGAGGAAATTAATCTGCATGTCTGCTTGCTGCAAACAAATAAATAAAACCTGGAGGATTTTTTTTTCCCCATCTGTTTCTATATGTTGTTGCTCTCACTATTATTCTTGTTGTGTTTTGTTGGTTTTGTTTTGGTTTGTTTTTTTTATTTTCCTTAAAGAATAAAAGTAGGGAGATGCCGGCTGCGTTACGGCTTTTCAATATTTCCCACCGAATCCTCTGTTGAGAGACCCCCCCCAGCAGAGGGACACGGCCCCGATGATGCCATTTTTATTTGTGTGGTCGAAATTGCTCTGGAAAATCATAACTCAGGGCAACTCAGGGCACCCAGACAGATGTAGGACATGTCTGGCATCATGGAGCAGCGTGGAGCTGCCAGCGTGTCAGCTGGGATCCCCCAAAAAAAGACCCTGGGGGAGAGGGTGGGCTCTGCCCGTGGTGGGAGGCTTTCCCCCAGCCTCTTGCTGCACCCAGGGTGGGGGGCGAATGCAATCTTTATTCACTGAAATTTTAGAGTTGGAAGGGACCATAGAGATCATCTAGTCCAACTCCCCTGCTGAAGCAGGATCACCCAGAGCATGTTACTCAGGGCTTCCTTCGTTTCTGAGTGGCTCCCAGGGCCAGGTGAAAGCAACGGGGTGTTTTCCCCTGGCCCCGTGCTCGTGTCGTGATGGAAAAAGTGGGGATTAGTACCTGAAGGTACTGATTCCAGTACCTGAGGGGGGCCTACAGGAAGGCTGGGGAGAGCCTGTTTAGAAAGGCCTGCAGTGACAGGACGAGGGGCAATGGCTTCAAGCTGGAGGGGAGCAGATTTAGACTGGAGATGAGGAGAGGGTTCTTCACTGTGAGGGTGGTGGAGCACTGGAACAGGTTGCCCAGGGAGGTGGTTGAGGCCCCATCCTCAAGGATGGAGGAGGCTCGACGAGGCCCTGGGCAACCTGGTCTAGTTGGGGGTGTCCCTGCTGACTGCGGGGGGGTCAGACTAGATGACCTTTGGAGGTCCCTTCCGGCCTGGGCAATTCTATGATTCTATGATTAACTTGTTTTGCTTTCCTTTTCTTGTGTCCCCTCAGAAACCTTGATGGATACGCGGACGGCGACCGCCGAGCTGGGCTGGACCGCCAACCCTCCCTCGGGGGTAAGTGCCACTCATCCAGCTGATCCTCCTGCCACCTCGTAGGGTTCACACTCTTTATCTTAAAACACTGGTGGGGAAGGTGGGGAAGCAGCAGCGGGGGCAGCAGTGCCTCATTGGGCTGGTGTGGGGCGGGCAAGGCATCGCTGTGCTGAGCTGCACGGCTGGTCCAGGGCTCAGCATCCCTTCCCTGAGCTGTCCCGGGGTCTCAGCGAATTTCACTGAATTTCACTGAATTTTTAGAGTTGGAAGGGACCATAGAGATCATCTAGTCCAACTCCCCTGCTAAAGCAGGATTACTTAGAGCTTGTCAGAGCATGTTACTCAGGAGCATCCAGGTGGGTCTTGAAAATCTCCAAAGAAGGGGACTCCACAACCTCCCTGGGCAGCCTGTTCCAGGGTTC